CTCCCTCTCCTTTCTCCCTCTCTCTCCCTCTCTCCCCCTCGCCTCTCTCTCCCTCTCTCCTCCTTTCCTCTTTCTCCCTCTCCTCTCTCTCTCTCTCTCTCTCTCTCCGGTGAGCACACAAGCCATCTGGCAAACTAAACAAACAAACAATGCTAGTTAAGGGTATAAAGCACACACAGAAATGATAAATTAAAAATTCAGTGAGTGGTCACAGGTGTGATGGGCACTGGGCTCTGACCCAGCACCGGTGCCCAGTCCCGGGGAGGGCGCCACCAGCAGGCAGCCATCTCACCCCCCCCCCACCTCCATGGCCACAGTACGCAGCGCAGTCCACTCAATGGACGCCGGGCTGAGGGTGGCCAGGCAGGTGCTCAAGGGAGCCGGATGTGCTCCTGGCCCCTGCAGCCCACTGTGCCGGCCCGAGAGGCCTGGAGCCAGGTCCAGAAGCCGGTTCCGTTTACCGAGGCCATCCCCACACAGGACGACGGGAGGCCTCTTTGGGACTCCAGGTCTGTTTTAGGAATAATGACCTGTCTCCGTAGACGTGGAACGCGAGACCTTGAGATTTCTGTTAAAAATGTTAATATCTTGTCGCTGGACTCCCATGTAGTCGACCGCAGTTCGCGTCCCGGACCCGATGGCTTAAAACTCACGCAGGGCGCGTGTGCGTGCGTGCCCAAGATCCCGAGAGGAGAATGGAGGAGAGGGGATTACGGCGTGGCCATCCCCCCTGGGGGGTGATTTCTCGCTTTCTGTCTCTATATCTCTCTCTGTCTGTCTGGCAAGCGCACGCACCCTATAGCGAAAAAAAAACCTTTCCAAAAAAAAGAAAAAAATGTTAATATCTTCTTTGTGTTTACTTTGGAAATGCATCCTGAAATCTCAGATATTCTGAACCTAAAAGCATAGCTCCACCTCTACCGTCCCTGAGGTCGTGTGCCTGTACCCCGTCTTGCCCAGGGCCTCTCGGCCCACCACAGGGTCAGCCACCCTCGGCGTCCACACCCGCTCGCTCCATGGGCCTGGACACTGCCCAGCCGCCATGTCACTCCCACGCCCGCCCGCCTCTGACCCATGAGCAGGGCACTCACACTCACACCCACTCTCCTCAGACTCCTTGCCATCAGTCCTCACGCCAGGTCTCCAAGGACACAGGGGCAGCAGAGAAGAAATCCGACCAGCGCCACAACCAATCCCGCCGCCTCCAGGGCTGAAGGCACACGCTCTGCCCTGCCTGTTCCTGGGGATGGAGCGACTCACGAGAGGGACAAGAGGGGCCAACCCGTCCCTGTGAGTGGGCTGGACCCCTTCCTGTTCCCTCGGGACACCACTCTAGGACTCAGCCTCTTCCAGCCACCATCAGTGTCATCCGCCCTCAGAGACGCGTTCCCATCAGTGGGTGATGACCATAGCACTGCCATCTTTAACGGGTCTCACGGCTCAGCCTGGTGGCACAGCAGCCCCCGCGAGCCTGCAGACACACCGGGCATGGGCACGCTGGGAAACTGCAGGGCGGGGACAGGTGGACCGTGGTGAGCCCTTGCCGAGGGCACCCTCCTCTCCCTGCCTCTCTGACCTTCTCTTCCCCCTCCCCCCATCACGACACAACTAATAAACTTTAAATAGAAACGCCTCACACGGACTTCCGCTGCCGGCTGAGGAAAGAGGTGACTGTCAGAGGGATTCTTCAGGGGACACTGGGACGCTGTCTGCGGACATGGGCGGGCAGCGAAGGCGGCCAGGACACAGAGGGACGAGGCAGGGGAGGTGCCTGGAATGTGTCGGCCTTTCTCCCACCACAGGCGGCATCGGGCGGGGGGGGGCGGCCCCCCTGCAGCCTGCGGCGGGGGTAGAGCACCCAGCTCCTGCCAGCAGCAGCCGAGCCCCGCAGGAGGGGACCACTGAAGAGCGGCTGAGAGATGCAGGAGCTTGCGACGTGGGGCCGGGAGAAAAGACCGCAGGGACCTTGAGCACCGCCCGGCCCCGAAGGCTCAGCAGCAGACATGGCGAATGCCAAGAAAAGCGCGTCATGGCCAATTACCGACAGTGAGGGCAGAAAGGACACCTAAGAAGTTGCCAAAGACGACACAGGAATCGGTACGGGGCAGTGAGACTGACCATCAGCCTGTCAACTGAAAGCGTATGGTGTCTTCGCTTTAACGGGGAAGAAAGTAACTACCCGTCTAGACCCTTCAGCTCAGCACACTGGCCTTGGAAAATGAAGTGGAATAAAGGCACTTCGCAGTCCTGCCAACACGCACGCTTGCTCACCCGCGGGCCTCAGGAAACACTCACGGGAGCTCCTCAGGCAGAAGAAGAGGCTTTAACCTTACGGTACGCTGCCACCAGAGAGGCAGGTTAAAATGTCAGGGCGTAAAAGAGCGAAAGTAAAGGGTCAAAAAAAGGTGTGTGTATATATATATATATAAAAATAACCAAAAGGAAAGGTTAAGTCATTCTAATACCTAACAAAGGAGATCCAAGGCAAGAAACAGTACTCGCACTAGGGGCCACTCGCGGTCGCTGCACAGTAAACTCAGAAGGCCGAAGTCCTAAGAGCTGGGAACTGGCATTACATACAGTAAGACAGTCCCACATTCATGGAACAATAGCTGAAAGAGCCAAAACGAAAACATGACCATCAGAGTGGAGTGCACTTCTCCTGGTAACTAGTGACAAGGAGGTGAGAATCTTTCAGAAGTATCCTAGCAAAAAATAGAAGTGGAGCGCAAGCAGGTGGCATGGCAGTTAAGGTGGAAGACTCCAACACAGACAAGTGTGGCTTTAATCCTGGACCCGGCAGCTTGAAAATCGCACCTGGCGTGTGTGTGCGTGCCCCAAATCCTGAGAGGACGGAGGAGAAGGGACTGCAGCATGACCAACCCTCCTAGGGAGTGATCTCTCATTTCCCCTCTTTTTGTCTCTGTCTCTCTCCAGTGAGTGTACATGCCCTACAGCAAAAGCCTTAAAAAATAAAGGAATTGGGACCAGCAGTTGGCCTAATGGCTATGTAGCTGGACTCCCACGTAGTCGACCACAGTTCAAGTCCTGGACCCGGTGGCTTAAACTCACACCGGGCGTGTGTGCGTGCATGCCCAAGATCCTGAGAGGAGAATGGAGGAGAAGGGATTGCAGCGTGGCCATCCCCCCAGGGGGTGATTTCTCACTTTCTGTCTCTTTCTGTCTTTCTGGTGAGTGCACGCTCCCTATAGCAAAAACCTCTCCAAAAATAAAAAAAGACTTCATAGCATGTGAAAGTGGGAGAAAAAACCTGAATACATGGGGTCTTTGAAGAGTTTATGAAAAGTACGTATGATGCATGGATTTCAAGAATGTTTTGTGTCACAATGAAACTCACACTTGAGTCCCATTTTCCCACAAACTTTCCGAAGTGCTCCCATTTTAAGTGCCCTGCACATATCATGAGCAGCAAATTGGTGATAAAAAGATCAAGATTCTTCCTGGCCCCTGAGCAGCAGAAGCGAGTGAGCGCACTTAGGCCAGAGACTGCCTTCAAAGCCGCACTCTCTTTTCATCCACTCCAGATACCACTCCCTCTTGCTTCCAACTTCTGCCCCACCATTCTTCTGGGATCCTGCATGGCAGGAGTGAGCACGCCAAGGCTAGAGATCACCTTGGAACCGCCACTATCTCCTGTTCCTAACAGA